CCAACACGGTACACATGCCCACCTCGGTCTTCTTGTCCTTAAGGTAGTCGAGCAGGGTGTTCATGGCGTATTCACAGATGGCGCAGCCGGGCGCCTCGTCCACACGCTCCTCGGAGGATAGCTGCTCGGAGGACTCAGACTCCTCCAGTTGAGCCTCCGTGAGCGGTCCGGCGCGGACACGGGAACCCACAGTGCGTAGGCAGCACCCTTGGTGGACGACACCAGGGTAAACGGTTCCACCGCCGTCCCGCGTCACAATATCATGCGACACGCGCGCGCTAGTGTCATCACCAGGAGAATTGGCACCTAGCGTCACGCGCACCAGAGCCGATCATCACGAGCGCGTCACACACCACGTCACGCACAAGTACCAATTACCACACGCACACCTTCTCATAACGTGTGTGTCATTGGGGCTTTACGACGCTCTCGGCCGCTGGGGCTATATGGCGTCGCCTGTCTCTCACCCTGACAGGAAGGGCGGGCACCGTGGGGAATCGAGCCCCGTACCTCTGGTTTCCCAGACACGTAGCGGTTAACGCAGACGCGTTGACACGCACACGTCTATCGTCATGATAAGGGCGCCACAAACCGCACAGTCGAGGAATCCGAGAACGCTCCGATAACCAAATATCACGACGGATGCCCGACGAAGAGATCTAGACGAAATCACAATGCTCCCACACCTCTCTCACCTCACCTCACACACCTCTCACCTCACCCTACATACCTCCCACCTCTCCTCACACACTCTCACCTCTCCTCACATGCCTCCCAACTCTCCTCACTCATCTCCCAGCTCCCCCCACACCTCTCTCACCCCACACACCTCTCACCTCTCCTCACACGCCTCACAACTGACCTCACGCATCTCCCACCTCACCTCACCTCTGTCATGTCTCACCTCACGCACCTGTCACCGCACACCTGACTCACCTCTCGCCTCACCTCACACGGATCTCATCACCGCGCGCCGCAGCCGCGGCCGGCCGCCCCCTCACCTCGCTGGGGTCGATCTCCTGTGCCAACATGGTGATGATGAAGTCGCCGTAGGTGGCGACGAACTTGTTGCAGCGGTTGGCCAGCGTGCGCGGCAGCAGGTGGCAGAGGCGGCCCACCTGCTCAGTCAGCTCGTCCTGGCCGGTCGGAGGCAACGGTCAGGAGCGCCGGTCAGGACCATCCGCCAGACGCGGCCCGCCGCCCGTGGGGCTGACACAGGCGGGCTCGCCGCTCGTGGAGCTGACACAGGCGGACTCGCCGCTCGTGGAGCTGACACAGGCGGGCTCGCCGCTCGTGGAGCTGACACAGGCGGACTCGCCGTTCGTGGAACAGACACAGGCGAGCCACACACGCTACAGCACACACTCGTTCGCAACCCGTCCAGTTATGACTTCCATGGAGGAAAATTCGTTTCCTTATGAGTGAGTGAGCACAGAGTGGACAAATTCCAAAGCCAGAGAAAACTACCGTCACGCGAGTACACGTAGTGTGCGAACTGATACCCTACTGATACAGTTAACGATCGCTGTTCGTTATCGAATTTACAGCGGCCAGTTCAAAGGGGCATAATAGACTAATCATGCCGTCAAAGCCCTTCGCGTGTCAAAATGTCAACCATCGTTCAGGCACAGCCAACCATGTTGACCAGCCAACCCCGCTAGTCCGGCAACCAATACCCCCCCCCCCCCCTCATAATGCAGGGGCGCGCCCGACCGACGTGCGACAGCGCGGCAGCCGCTGGAAAGTATCGAGCACGGCCGAGGCGAGTGGCCCAGCCAGCGCGGCGCCCGCCTTATCTGCGACAGGCACGACCACGCGGGACGACATCGCCGCGTTCGCACGCGCGCCACCACCGCAGCGCCACGCCGCGCCGCGACGCGCCGCGCCGGCAGCCGGCCGGCCGCGGCGGCCGCGGCGGGCGCGCGGCCAGGAGCCTCACCTCTGTCGCGTCCTCCATCAGCACCTTCCGCAGCTCCTGCAGGCCGAATTCGCAGATGTCACAGAGCTCGGTGTTGCGCTGGAAGAGGCCGCTCATGTCGGGCAGGCCCAGCCGCGAGAGCGGCAGCTGGCCGACGGGCAGCACCTCGGCAGCAGGTATAGGAGAGCCCTCCAGCGGGTTAGGGTGCGCCACTGTCGGGGGAGGGGCGTCAGGTCACGCTATCGCACAGAGAGCACCGGGCGGCCTCAGGTGCCGCACTGTCGCACAGTGAGCACCGGGTGGCCATAAGTGCCACACTGTCCCTGTAAGATGAGAGAGCACACACAGACACTGTAAGATGAGAGAGCACAGGGTGGCCTCAGGTGTCACACTGCTCCACAGAGAACAACAAGTGGCCATAAGTGACACACTGTCGCACAGAGAATGTTGGGCGGCCTCAGGTGCCACACTGTCGCACAGAGAGCACCGGGCGGCCTCAGGTGCCGCACTGTCGCACAGTGAGCACCGGGTGTCCATAAGTGCCACATTGTCCCCTGTAAGATGAGGAGCACAGGGTGGCCTCAGGTGTCACACTGCTCCACAGAGAACAAGTGGCCATAAGTGACACACTGTCGCACAGAGAATGTTGGGCGGCCTCAGGTGCCGCACTGTCGCACAGTGAGCACCGGGTGGCCTCAGGTGCCACAAAGCCGATGTGTGATTCGGAGATTTGACTTATCATGGGCTTCGCCACGCGTGGCTGCGAGGGACAACGCTGCGTCTACCGCGTGTTACCATGCGCACTGCGGCATCACGAATCACAAAAGATGACTTTTGACACGGAGCCTGAAGATGACGTGATGAATGCTGACACATGATGAAGATGAGTGGAATACCACTCGGCGTGCGCGACTCCCTTCGACCCGCCGCCGCGGGTCAAAGGCGGTCCCTCCACTACTACCTACCCCCCCCCCCCTTACTCCCCCTGAGCCTCTGCGCTCAGAGCAGCCGGCTCAGTCGTCCACTCACGGCCATCGTTGCCGTAGGCGCGGGGCGGCGACTTCTTCAGCTGGACGTGGTGCAGCTTCGGGACCTTCATGCACGGGGCTCTTCTCCAGGCCACTGCGGAGGGCGCAGGGGCGGCGGTCACACACGCAGCGCCAGCGCCGCAGCACGGCCCCGTGTCCCCGCCGGCGGCCGTACAGCCGTTCCACACGCGAGGGGCCAGCTGGCGGGCGCTCCGCTCGGGCGGTGGGCCAGCCATGAGGGGCCTAGCGATCCCGTGACAGAAGCAGCCGGTCACAGCACACTCCACCGCTGGCTGCCCGGTCCCCTTCTGACATGACCACGATCAGGCCCTCTCCCCGCCTCCCAGCCGGCCGTCTTGACCAGGACAGACCGGCGGCGTGCGCCGGCGGCACCACTCACCGGTGTGCAGCTCTTGCGGCGGGGTGAGCTTGGCCAGCGGCATCTCCAGCGACGGCTGCAGGCGGAGCAGCGGCTGCGCGCCGAGCACAGCGGCCGCCTCCGAGCCAGCCGGCACCACGGCCCCCAGCGGCACCGACTGCGACACGGCGGCCGGTCAGACGGGGTCAGAGGGATAGAACAGACCGGCGGCGGCCGGTCAGACGGGGTCAGAGGGACAGACAGACCGATTGAGAGGTCAGACGGGGCCAGAAGGACGGCGCAGACTGACGGGGGCCGGTCAGATGGGGTCAGAGGGACAGACAGACCGACTGAGAGGTCAGACAGGGTCAGAGGGGCGGACAACCTAAACAGCATACATGAGCACAAACAAGCAGGTCAGCACCGCACTCAGAAAAGAGCTGGCCCACAGAGGAGACAATGCGAGCGGCCCGTGGATGTTATAATGCAAAGGTGTGCCAGTCATTACACCACCCTCCCTTTCCCACTCCTGTGCGATACAAAAATGTACAGGTACGGACGGTACCAACATCACGCATGCTCACGGGAATCCTGAGTGAACACCTGGACCACAGCTGCTGGTCAGTTCCATCCACGACCTTTTGATCTTAACGTCCATACTCCATCACTAAATACGTCTCCGTACACAACACCATGCGGTGCGGTGACGGAAGCTTCAGCCGTGGAGCAATGCTAACAACCTCACGCCCTCAACCCCGCACTCCTCCCCTCCTCCCACAAACCACAAGCCTTTCGCTCCCAAACGACCAGCATGATTTCCCAGCTCCCTCCCCGCCACCTTCCCACATAGACTCGCCTGGCCAGCTCCCTCCCCCGCCGCCACCTCCCGATGGACCCGCCCGGCCGGGCTGATCAGTGATCACACACCGCACAGTGCACACATGACCCGCGCAGCCTCCCCCGGACACGGCCGGGTGAACTCGCCTGGCCGGGCTTGGAGCACAGGCCGATGGCCTTGCAGATGGTATGCGCGCGCATCTGGTTCACCAGGTAATCGTAGATCACTTCGTAGTACTCGTTCACCAGCTGTGTGCACTGCAGCAGATACCCGCATGGGTCAGAGTGCATGATGATGGTGCATTTTCTTCCGTGAGCTGTGAATCGTCTCCACCCGCCACAGACCAGCTTTAGGTCATTCACACTGGCTGTTTATTATCAATGGGCGAAACGGGAACTGCGTGCGCTTAGCCAAAGCCCACGAGTTCATAGCCGTAGTCCACATCAATAGCTACTGATTACTTTAACAGGCTATCAATGTCAGACAGTTCATAACTTTCCCCGCATCGAGGGAAACCTTTGTATTCGAATTCGCATCGTAATCATGACGCCCCACGCTGCACCAACTGGCGCGTACCTTGGGCGCCCAGGCCTTGGTCTTGGAGCAGATGCCGTCCAGGATCTCCTTGAACTCCTCCTTGGTGGTGTTGGCCACCAGGATGTCCCGCCAGTGTTTCACGATGTGAATACAGAGATCGCAGTCCACGGCCGGGCCCGTCGCCGTCAGCTGCAGCGGCTGCACAGGATAGAAAAGGAATCAGTCAGCTGCAGCAGCTGGACACGACAGAAGGCTGCTCAGTCAGCTGCGACGGGTGGACAGGACAGAGAGCTGTTCAGTCAGCTGCAGCGGCTGGACAGGACAGACAGCAGCTCAGTCAGCTGCAGCGGCTGGACAGGATAGAGAGCCGCTCAGTCAGATGCGGCGGCTGGACAGGTCAGAGAACTGTTCAGTCAGCTGCAGCGGCAGACAGGACAGACAGCAGCTCAGTCAGCTGCAGCGGCTGGACAGGGTAGAGGGAATCAGTCGGCTGCAACGGCTGGACAGAATAGAGAGCGGCTCAGTCAGCTGCAGCAGCTGGACAGGACAGAGAAATGTTCAGTCAGCTGCAGCAGCGAACAGGACAGACAGCAGCTCAGTCAGTTGCAGTGGCCGGACAGGACAGAAGGCTGTTCAGTCAGCTGCAGCAGCTGTACACGACAAGAGGCTGTTCAGTCAGCTGCAGCACGGGACGGCAGGGAGTGCAGTGTGACAGACGCTTCTGGGAGGCGCCACCTGCGCCTGCGGCACGCCTCTGGTCTGAAAGCCCTCACCAGATGGCAGCACAGGCTGTTCCTCAGCTGGAGCCACAGGGCCCCGCCTGGCCAGCCTCCCCCAACCATGCTCGAGTGTGAGGAGTGGGCTCACACCTGAAACCCGCTAAGTCTGCCGTACACATCGCATGGCGGAAGATCAACTGTGCGGGCACGTAAATGCATACCCGTTGCAAGGAAGAGAACCCGCCTCCTACAGTCGCCTGGCGAGCATCCTTCGAAACCGGGTCCCTGATCCGGGCCGCGGCGCTCCGCGTCCCACCTCTGGCATTATCATCGTTCACCCACCGAATCTCCCATCTGACATGGTCACCTTCGCCTCCGAGTCCCGCCTCAAGCAATATTATTGTCCACCCCCCGAATCTCCCCCTGACATGGTCACCCTCCCCCCCCGTTCCCCTCTGAAATATTCACCGCTCCCTCCCCCTCCCCCACCCCTCTGACATGCTCGCCACCTACCCTCCGACTCCCGCCTCTGACATGCCCACCACTCACCCCACAGCTGCCAGCTTGCCATGCTCACCGTCTCGTCGAAGAGGCCGGGGACAGGCGTTGCCCAGCCAGACAAATGCCGTCCGTGTCCAGCTCGGCCCACCCACTGGTAGATGACGTCGATGTGCGCGGCCAGATCGCCGGCGCAGGCGTCACTGTACGACCCCAGGTCACGGCAAACCTGCGGCGGCGGGGCGGGAGTGAGCGACGGCGGCGGGGCAGGAGTGAGCGACGGCAGCGGGGCGGGAGTGAGCGACGGCGGCGGGGCACGAGTGAGCGACGGCAGCTGGGCTGGAGTGAGCGACGGCGGCGGGGGGCGGGGGTGAGCGATGGCGGCGGGGCACGAGTGAGCGACGGCTGGCGGGGGCACGAGTGAGTGACGGCGGCGGGGCGGGAGTTGAAGCGACGGCGGCAGGGCAGGAGTGAGCGACGGCGGCGGGGCACGAGTGAGCGACGGCGGCGGGGGCGGGGCAACGAGTGAGCGACCGGCGGCGGGGCACGAGTGAGCGACGGCGGCGGGGGCGGGAGTGAGCGACGGCGGCGGGGCACGAGTGAGCGACGGCGGCGGGGCGGGAGTGAGCGATGGCGGCGGGGCACGAGTGAGCGACGGCGGCGGGGCACGAGTGAGCGACGGCGGCGGGGCACGAGTGAGCGACGGCGGCGGGGCACGAGTGAGCGACGGCGGCGGGGCGGGAGTGAGCGACGGCGGCGGGGCACGAGTGAGCGACGGCGGCGGGGCACGAGTGAGCGACGGCGGCGGGGCGGGGCACGAGTGAGCGACGGCGGCGGGGCACGAGTGAGCGACGGCGGCGGGGCGGGAGTGAGCGACGGCGGCGGGGCGGGAGTGAGCGACGGCGGCGGGGCACGAGTGAGCGACGGCGGCGGGGCACGAGTGAGCGACGGCGGCGGGGCACGAGTGAGCGACGGCGGCGGGGCACGAGTGAGCGACGGCGGCGGGGCAGGAGTGAGCGACGGCGGCGGGGCACGAGTGAGCGACGGCGGCGGGGCACGAGTGAGCGACGGCGGAGCGGCACGAGTGGAGCGACGGCGGCGGGGCACGAGTGAGCGACGGCGGCGGGGCACGAGTGAGCGATGGCGGCGGGGCACGAGTGAGCGACGGCGGCGGGGCACGAGTGAGCGACGGCGGCGGGGCACGAGTGAGCGACGGCGGAGCGGCACGAGTGAGCGACGGCGGCGGGGCACGAGTGAGCGACGGCGGCGGGGCACGAGTGAGCGATGGCGGCGGGGCACGAGTGAGCGACGGCGGCGGGGCACGAGTGAGCGATGGCGGCGGGGCACGAGTGAGCGACGGCGGCGGGGCACGAGTGAGCGATGGCGGCGGGGCACGAGTGAGCGACGGCGGCGGGGCACCAGTGAGCGATGGCGGCGGGGCACGAGTGAGCGACGGCGACGGGGCACGAGTGAGCGACGGCGGCGGGGCACGAGTGAGCGACGGCGGCGGGGCACCAGTGAGCGATGGCGGCGGGGCACGAGTGAGCGACGGCGACGGGGCACGAGTGAGCGACGGCGGCGGGGCACGAGTGAGCGACGGCGGCGGGGCACGAGTGAGCGACGGCGGCGGGGCACGAGTGAGCGACGGCGGCGGGGCACGAGTGAGTGACGGCGGCAGGGGCAGGAGTGAGCGACGGCGGCGGGGCACGAGTGAGCGACGGCGGCGGGGCACGAGTGAGCGACGGCGGCGGGGCGGGAGTGAGCGACGGCGGCGGGGCACGAGTGAGCGACGGCGGCGGGGCACGAGTGAGCGACGGCGGCAGGGCAGGAGTGAGCGACGGCGACGGGGCAGGAGTGAGCGACGGCGACGGGGCAGGAGTGAGCGACGGCGACGGGGCAGGAGTGAGCGACGGCGACGGGGCGGAAGTGAGCGACGGCGGCGGGGCAGGGGTGAGCGACGGCGGCGGGGCGGGAGTGAGCGACGGCGGCGCAACAGGAGTGAGCGACGGCGGCTCAGTATGGGCTCATGCACGAAGACGGCACAAGGTCCGGCCCTGTGCTGCACGTTCACTCCACGTGGGGTGAAACTGACACGCATCAATGCTTTGTCTTCAGTCTGAGCTTAACTACAGCGCCTGATCATAGAAAACTTGGGCGACAATTTAATTGAGTCTCACTGATAGCGTGCCTCCTCCCTCCAACCCCACACGCAATCTCCATCCTAACATCTGGGGTCAGTACTCAGCTGAATCTCGGGGTATCGCTACAGAGCGGCTACGGATCATTCTCGCCACACGTTTTCACGCTGACGAGCTTTCCCTCACAATCACAGTGGAACACTAACGTTTCCGTAGGTGAACCGTTTCGATCCCTTCCACTGACGTCACTTTTCCTACATACTGACATCCCATATCAGGGCCGTTGAATAATGCTCATCAGTATTACCAACTGACAGTTTCAAAATCGAAGCTAACCTCTCCCCACCGCAGACACTCAAAAAGTTGTTCTGGGTGGAAAACGGCATGTGCACGTCATTGATCTACAACCATACTAAAACAAAACAAAAACTTTTAAGGCCCAACTCCCACCGACCTCAGCGGGACCTCCAGCCATGGGCTCATGCACAAGCTCACGTACCGGCAGCAGGCTGTCCAGCAGCTGCTGCTGCCCTCCAGCGGCCACATACTGCTTCAAAGCTGTCGTCTTCTGCTGACAGGTGGCGCACGCGTCAGCCGGTTTCTCCGCCAGCTTCTGCAAAGGAAGCCCCACTGGACGTTATAAGCCGGGTCACACGGGCGACCGCCCCTCTGTCGCGACCAGAAATAACCGGCGAGCCAAGCCTCAAGAGCATGTCACCCACAGTGGGTCTTCGGCATCCGCCGCCGCCTCTGAACACGGCTGCCGCGTCATAAGCAGACCAAAACCGGGGCCACACGCCCGCCCCCACTCCGAGCCGCTTGTTAGCTGGCGGCAAAACGGCGAGAATCGTCGCAGAAAAGCGCGCTGGAGCGTTGTCCGCGCCTCTCCCGCAGAAATCTGCCCGCCGGAAGCGCTACACACCAGTGGAGGGGAGGAGGGGAGGGGGCGTGGCGTCACGGAGCGCAAGGCACGCACGGACGGCCGTGAGTCACGGCCCGTGACGCCCGGTGCGCTGGCAAAGGGCGCGTCCGCACGTGACGGAGCCGGCAGACAGTGTCGACCACCGGCCACACCAGGCACAGTCATCTGTGGGCTGTAGCAGGCAGAGTCGACCACCGGCCATGGCAGGCACAGTCATCTGTCGGCTATGGCAGGCAGAGTCGACCACCGGCCACACCAGGCACAGTCATCTGTGGGCTATAGCAGGCTGGGTCGACCACCGGCCATGGCAGGCACAGTCATCTGTGGGCTATAGCAGGCTGGGTCGACCACCGGCCATGGCAGGCACAGTCATCTGTGGGGTACAGCAGGCAGAGTCGACCACCGGCCACAGCAGGCACAGTCATCTGTGGGCTATAGCAGGCAGAGTCGACTATCGGCTCCGGCAGGCCGAGCCGGCGATTGGCTTCGGCGGGCGGGGCCGACAGCCGGCTGCAGCAGATACCGTGGCCTGTCAGCCATCGCGGGTCAAGGACCGGTGGGAGAAAGCGGGTCCGCACCGCCGGTGGAGCACATGGCCAGACGCCTTATTTATTCTGGGACGTGGCGTGGGCGCCTGCTCTATTCCGTGCAGCTTGAGAAAGAATGTGATCTGACGCAAAATGATCGTGCAATATCCACAAATGTTGCTCGAGTATCGAGCACACCAGCATGGTCATGCCGCACTGCAATGGAGCGGATAGGCACCAGGAGCGAACATTATCTTCGCCCGCTTATCACAAATCGTTCGCGATACGACGATACGCGACAACCAGCTGACTGACGGTGGCAAGAACACAGTTTTCCGCACGCTCCTTTGCAGCACAACGACGCCGACCGAGGAAGCCGCCTATCCACGTCGGAGAAACGCCACGGGACATGACTCACAGAGCCCTGAGCGGAGCCCCAAGCGTGGCAAAACAGCGCACGTGCGGCCGCCGCTGGCCGGCCGGGCGGCAGAGTCGCGTAAGTGCGCGACAAAGGCAATTGGCCCGATTGTCAGGACGTCAGCTCATCAGGGGGAGCTCCGGGGCCGACGACGCGCACCAGAGCGGGACGGACGGCGGCGCGTGGCCTCGTCTGCAGCGGCGGCCGTGCCACGCGCCCGGCGGCGGAGAACCTGACACGAACAAAGGCGCCTGACTGAACTCTAAACATTGGATCCCAACGCGCACCGAACGCTGGTCCCTGGTCGTTGAGCACGGCTGCCAACATGAGCCGCCATCCCGTGGCCGTCAGCTGACCATGTGACGCATCCGATTCGCCCCGGGCCAGGCTGCACCGGGGTATCCCGCCCCATCCCCACACCCTTCCGGAAGTCCCTCAACGGACAGGTGAGCTCGCTGACATCCCGCGACTGACGACCACCTCCCCGCGCGTCCCTGGACCGATGTCCGTCATCCGTGCGTCCCTGGACCGACGTCCGTCATCCGCGCGTCCCTGGACCGACGTCCGTCATCAGCACGTCCCTGGACCGACTTCCGTCATCCGCGCGTCCCTGGACTGACGTCCGTCATCCGCGCGTCCCTGGACCGACGTCCGTCATCCGCGCGTCCCTGGACCGACGTCCGTCATCCGCGCGTCCCTGGACCGACGTCCGTCATCCGCGCGTCCCTGGATCGACGTCCGTCATCAGCACGTCCCTGGACCGACGTCCGTCATCCGTGCGTCCCTCAGCCGGCCATCGCCAGTGCAGCCACCGCCGAGCCGCGCCGAAGTCATAGCCTGGCGGGCGGGCCCGCTGCCCGACGCCGTGGCCGCGAACGGGCGTGACAGGGCCGGACCAGAGGGCCGCTTCCGGCGGGCGAGCCCGGCCCCGCCGCCAGTGAGCCGGCGGCACGTGACAGCGGCGACCCTCGCTCCCGGAGCGGCACGGACGGACGGGGGGGGGGGGGGGCACGGGCAACACAATCCGAGCGGGCAGGCACACCGCGGCAGCCGCCTTGGCGCCCCGGCGGCGCTGTGGCGCTCGACACCAGCCGGCGGTGCCCTGTCCGCCGGCCGGCCGGCACCGCGGAGACCGCACGTGACGGCGCTCCGTCAGCCCGCCGCGGCCGGCACAGCTGCGGCCGGCCGAGCGCTCCGTCAGCCCGCCGCGGGCCGGCACAGCTGCGGCCGGCCGAGCGCTCCGTCGGCCCGCCGCGGCCGGCACAGCTGCGGCCGGCCGAGCGCTCCGTCAGCCCACCGCGGCCGGCACAGCTGGGGCCGGCCGAGCGCTCCGTCGGCCCGTCGCGGCCGGCACAGCTGCGGCCGGCCGAGCGCTCCGTCGGCCCGTCGCGGCCAGCACAGCTGCGGCCGGCCGAGCGCTCTGTCAGCCCGCCGCGGCCGGCACAGCTGCGGCCGGCGGACGCACAGCGCCGACTGCCGGCAGCCGGGTCAGGGGTGCCCGCGTCTAGCAGACGCGACGGCCGGCACCGCCGCCACGGATGCGATGTCGCTCCGCGTGTGGAGTCAAGCACCAGATGAGCTGATTGCGATGGGAGAGGGGAGGCGCGGGCGAGGCTACAGTGTAGTCCAAGGTTTCCAGGAACCACGCACGCCAGTTCTTGTGTGCTCGTTATGTGGTGGCACTTGACCGGCTCGCAGACAGCTGGCTTTCTTGTTCTGAGAAGCCCAAATGGCACGGCACACTCACAACAACACTCTCTGTTCAGTTTCGGGACTAACCATTGACATCAACATCGGTCAGCCAAGTGGTCTAGCGTTGTGCGGCGACGTCCAGTCTAGCGTTGCGGACGCAACTGTCGGGACCAGCTGGTTGCGGCATCCAAATCGCAGGCAGTGACCTGCCATCCCTTCCGCAACTGCGCACATCAAACGGCCTACGGGAGAGGTCCGATGGGGCCGTCTCTCGCGGTGGATCCGGCGGGACCGACCACTGCCCGGTGGGCCGGGGCCCACTACGGGCAGCGGCTGGCACACTCACCTTGTGGCTCCGATCCTCCAGCAGCTTGTCAACCCGCGGAGAGTTGCACAGTCCGGCCGTCTGGCACACCACCTGACACACAGACACGCATGGTGTCAGCTGACAGCCTGGGTGCAAGTGAAGGGAACAGCACGCCAGCAAGGCGACATAACACAGCTTCTGTCTCGTCGACAAATATATGTCGCAAATAAGCGGTGACACTATGCCTTGTACAGCGATGACACCATGCCCAGTATAGCGATGACACTGTCCGGTGCAGCGATGACACTATGCCTGGCACAGCAGTGATACGCTGTCTGGTGCAGCAAGCAGGACATCCCGTGAGCTCGGTTCATTCTGGCACAAATCCGACTGTCTGTGTGCATCGCACCGATAACCGACGAAAAACGTCCGATGCGGCAAAACAAAAGCCGGCAGCGTTTCCCGCGCGGGCGCGCACGAGTCCCGCTAAAAAGGCCGCAATCAAAACACGGGTCACACAAACCCGCCGGTACGCAACGGCGCCGATATTCGCATTGTAACAACGAGAGCGGCAGCTGGAAAGCCATACTGATGCACACAAACCCGCCGATGTTCAGCATAGCGCACGCCCACCGGGCGACTCTTGGTGACCAATTTAAGTCAACGCATTCCCGGGGCTACTAAGGTGCGCGAACGGCCAAAAAGGTCTGAGCAAAACGACTGCAGCGACTTAAACTTAAAAAGCAAATGCACAGCAGCTCCAACTGCTAACAAGCACCGCCGCTGCTTGCGTGGTTGCAGATCATCGGAGCCCGGGTCCGCATCGTCGGCCCCGAGCGGTGTTTTGGAGCCGGCGCGGCGGCCGCTGCGCAGCCCCCGTTCCCGAGCTGGGCAGGGTCGGCTGCAGCCGGCGGCCGGGCCAGCCCCGGGCCATGCGTCACCGCCCGCAGCGGCCGCACATGTGCCCCAGTTATGTTTAGCTAGTGGCGCAGCGGCCGCCGGGCAGAGACTGTGCGGCAGGACACGTTGCGACGCACACAAGCCGCGGCGTGTTGGCGCCGCGCCCGTGGCGCCCCCTCCCCCTCCCATCCTCGTCCCAGCCTGTGGCTGCTGAGGTCATTGGTGTCACGAGCTCTGGCGCTGCCTGGCTCGTCTCTGGTCCGATAAACAAGCCGCCGTCAGCGTCACCGTCCAGCTCGGAGGTCAGGGATGATACACATACCCGACCGCGAACCTCCGGCCCGCCGGCCGCATGTCACGGCGCTCTCGCCCGCTGCTCCCCTCCCGGTCAGCCCCGTCCGGCCCGCCGGGCCGATGAAACGACGCTCTCGCCCGCTGCTTCCCTCCCAGTCTTTTCCCTCATGAAACGGCGCCTCTCCCTCCCTCCCTCGCACCACGCTCCCGTTCGCCCCCTGTCTGGCCCGCCGGGCCCATGAAACGACGCCTCTCCCTCCCTCCCTCTCTCGGACGCTGCTCCCAGACATCCCCTGTCCGGCCCGCCGGCTGCACGAGACGGCGCCTCTCCCCTCCATCCCTCGGACCCTGCCCCCGGACACCCCCTGTCCGGCCCGCCGGGCTAATGAAACAACACCTCTCCATCCCTCCCTCGGACCCTGCTCCCGGACACCCCCCCTGTCCTGCCCGCCGACTGCACGAGACGGCGCCTCTCCCTCCCTCCCCTCCCTCCCTCGGACCCTGCTCCCGGACACCCCCTGTCCGGCCCGCCGGCTGCACGAGACGAACAAGCCGCCTCTTCCCTCCCCCCCCCCCTCGGGCCATGCTCCTGGACACTCCCTGTCCGCCCCGCCGGGCCCATGAAACGACGCCTCTCCCTCCCCTCCTCTCTCGCGATCTGCGCCGGGCCGGGCCGGGCCGGTGAGTCACACGGTGACGCGGCGTGACGTCCGCCGGCCGGCTGGTGACCACAGCCGGGCCGGCCGGGCTCCGGCGGAGAGCTGACGACAGCTCGCGACCCACCGGCGCTCGCAGGCGTCAGGCGGTCAGTCCACAACCGGGCCGGCTCGCGCTCACGACGACCTCGTGCTCCCCAGCACGTGTGGACAGCGAGTGAGCGCCACGACTTCTGTCTGCAGTAGCGTTTCGGTGGTTGCGTTTTCGAGCACCGGCCCTTCGGCAGGCAACGACGCCAGTGAAGACATGCGGATTCCCGATATGAAAGGCGTTCCGTCCAGAATGGCATACCGGTGCTCCTGTCAGATGCGCGCCACGCTTAGAAACGCGCGACGTGACCCCCGGAGGGTGTGGGCGCTGACTACACAGCGGACGACGGCGTGCAGGGAATATTCCGTTGCAACATCCCGCACCAACTGCTCCGTTCCATCTTATAAATCGCGAACGCCTACTTCCCTGCTGCCGCGTGCAGCTGCGTACACAGACGGCGCGGCACGCTCGGAGTGCGCGCCCAGTCAGGCTGAACAGCGGCGATTTTCTGTGGCGCTTCCAACATTCGGGCGGCGGCTCCCCGAGAACGTTCATAGACCGCATTTATTTCCATTCTATTCAGTTCTCATTTCTATTCTATGAAACGCCACGTATATCATGGATCCGCTCCGACCGGTCTGCCGAGGGTCCGATCTGCACCCGGGCTCCGAGACAAACAAGGGCCGCGCGCCGCCCCCCGCCGCCTCCATCTCGGTGGCGGGGAGCGGCGGGGAGCGGCGGGGTCTTCCCCCGCTTCCCCGGCCGCGGCTGTGGTCGGTGCACGGCAGACAGGCCGCCGCCTCGGGCGGTCCGCGGTCGCCGATGTGCCGTGACCCGTGCGACCCGACCCGACCCGACCCGACCCGGCAGCGCTCACCCCCGAGCGCGCCGGGCCAGCGTGCCGCCGCCGGCCACACGGACGAGAATCGGCGCCGCCGAGGGGCGGGGGGGACAGAGCGCGAGCCGTGCTGCGCCGCCGACGGCCAGCTCCACCCCCACCTGAGCACGACCGGATCCTGACCCAAGCAGTAACACCGGGCCACTGTTTCGGATCTGACTGTTCAGGGCAAATTCACTTACTGCACACACATATATACATATACTACAACTACGCGCATACAATTCACAGTTTATATAGCTCCTGAAGGAAGAGACGCAAACAAAAGCAAGCGCCGACTCGCAGCCACGAATAAATCAAGTCTTGCGAACATGACGTTACTGCAATCTTGCGAGAGTCTCCCGAACATGACGTTGCTCCGCTCTTGCAAGAGCCGCAGGCCGCTAGACTCCACGTGCTTGACGAAACGGCGGAAGCCCGTCGGTCCCCGGCCCCTTCCACCCCGCCCATCTGGCAATCCTCCGCCATCCGGCCGGCCGCTTCAAATAAACAGGGCGTTGAGTAACGTCCGCCGGGCAACCGCTGCAAAAAGCCATCCGGACCCGGCAGCTGTCACGTGACAGTCGGGGCCGGACAGCGGACTGTCACGTCGGGACAAGGCAGCTGTCACGCGACAGTCGGGACCGGACAGCAGACTGCCGCGTGACAGTCGGACCGGACAGCGGAGTGCCATGTGACAGCCGGGAACGGCCAGCGGACTGTCATGTGACAGTCGGGACCCGGCAGCGAACTGCCACGCGACGGCCGCGGCCTGGACCCCGACACGACGGTGGTCTCTCAGCAGCTCACAGGTCCCATCCCAGTTCGACGGAGATTTTGCTCCACATCCTGCCACGGCCAGCATCGCCGGGGGTCGCGGTCGGCCAGCAGCAGCCAGTCCCATCCGGCTCCCTGTTTTGCCAGGCGGCCACCGACGCTCGGGGGTCGCCAGCGTCCAGCACGCGGCAGGTGACCGTCACGGCTCGGCGGCCGGCGCGGTGGCTGGCGCTGCGGCTGGCGCTGCGGCTGACGCGGCGGCGCCCGCGGTCAGCGCTCCCGCCCCCTGACACGGCACGGCACGGTGCGGTCCGTCGCCGCCGGCCCGGCCCAGCCCTGAGCACGCGGTGCCAGCCGTGCGCCGCCGCAGGGCAGGAGACGACCGCAGTGGCGGCGATGCACGATGCGCGGCACCGGCTGCCGCCAGCAGGCTCGCGGCCCAGTGGACGACGCAGCCCTTGGGACCCGCCGGCTTGCAGGAGACGCGAGGCGGCAGAGCACGCGCTCGCGGCACCCCACCGAGTCACGTGACGCGCGCAGCGGACCAGGGCGTTACGTAACGGTCCGCGAGCCGTCGGTATCTGTCTGGCGCGCCGCTGGAGCGGACGTCAGACGCCCGGTCGTCGCGTCACGTCGCGTCACGTCACGCGTCTGCACCCTGAGACATGTCAAACGAGCTCCAGGCACCGCCGCTGGCCGGCGACCCGCCCGCCCGGCAACGCACAGCGTACAGGAGCCGCTCCGGCCGACTGTCTCGACGCCGGCGACAAAAAATAGCAGGGCAATAACCTCTTGCCCCCGCTACGACTGGGGAGGGCAGCGCATGATAAAGCTCGACCTGACAGAGCAACAAACCAACACCAAAACAGTGAAAACGGGTTAATGTGACTGTATTCACATGCAAATAATTAAATAAAAAGTAAACCGGGAACTAATCGTTATCTCCAGTCAGACGCAAAACTGGTGCAATGCCATCATGAAACCTATGCCGAAACCCGACAGCCGACTTTTGTAGTGGACGGAGAAGCCAAACGCGGCATTGGACCACCGCGAAGGATCCTAGAAGTTGTTATCATCAGGGCTTTACCGTGGGGAATCGAACCCACGTGCCTCTGGTTTCCCCGACACGCAGCTTAACCACCTTGCTACCGGTGGATCACGTGCAGAGAAACCTCACCAGCAATGAGGCGCCACGCATCCTCATCGCCACATCACTTATAACTACGCATGATGTCATCGCTTAAGACGGAAGGCGGTAAACAGAGGGATACGGGATCACTCAATATAGCAATGCACCAAAGGAAAGGGAGATGGTTGCGCTGAATGTTTAATAAGGAAAGAAACACATCCGGCAATTTGATGTGTTTTCCCGGATGCGCCGCCCCGGTACACAAGATCTGATGCGTGATGAGGGCGTGCCTCCCAGCCGTGATCCGTTCGCCTACTGCCGTCTCTCCGGTTCAGGAGCCCGTCCGCAGCGACCGAGCTCCTCCAGCCGGGGCGGCGCGCTGACCTCACCTGCGGGTTCATCTGCGAGGACAGCACCTCCACCAGCTCCGGGATGAACTCGTCCACCAGCTCGTCGCACTCCTTGGCGATCAGCCGGATCGGCAGCAGGTTGCACGAGCCCTCCAGCACCTCCTTCAGCTCCTCCTGCCGGGACGGAGATGCCCGCCGGGTAAGAGTCTATTCAGAATCAGAGCATGCCGGATCGGAGTCTATTCAGAGTCAGAGCACGCCGGATCAGAGTCTAATCAGTTAGAGCACGCCAGGTCAGAGTCTATTCAGATCAGAGCACGCCGGGTCAGAGTCTATTCAGTCAGAGCATGCCGGGTCAGAGTCTATTCAGAGTCAGAGCACGCCGGGTCACAGTCTAATCAGAGCCAGAGCACGCCGGGTCAGAGTCTATTCGGCACGATGCACTGGGAGCGGCCGTGGCGGTTTGTTGGTGCTCGACTACAGATGCTGTTCGCGGATAAACAAACTCTCACACGATGGCAAGGCCAGCCACTGATGCATCCGTCAGTCCCCTCGGGTTTGGTGCAGCGACCGCTCACCTCAGTTGTCGCTGTTTTCCCGTAATTTTTGACAAGCGGTGATTATTCCATAGCAGTGTTCCATGTCAACGGTGCGTGGGGCACGTAATGGCGTAATGCGTTCGGATGGGGGATGGGGATGGGGGCAAATCATGCGTAATGCTTGTAATAGTAGCCAGCGACGGGTAGTGTTTACCGCCAAGGCACTGACACAATCCTTCCGAAGCGTGCGCATCGCACTGCTCCCCCCCCCCCTCGCTATCCGTTCCATTGGTGGTCCAATGGAAGCCGTGTGGTTAACCGCAGACCGCCAATGACGGCCGTCAAGCGTCATTAACGCCCGTCAGGCGCCGCCCAAGGTCACCTTGAACGGCCCCAGGGGCCGATGCTGACGCTTCTGCCGTCGTGTCGCCACGCGGCTACGCAAGCAGAACTGTCGCCGCGGACCGCAGATACGGCACGGCAGCCGGTCAACGCGCTCGCTGCCAGCGTCCGGGGCGGGCAGCCCTCGGCAGACATTTTGGAGCGACGTGGCCAAAGGAGGCAGCGCAAGCAGGTCACCGGGCCGACCCTTGGTCGCCGCAGCAGGTCACCGGACCAACTCTTGGTCGCCGCAGCAGGTAATAGGGCCGACCCTTAGTCGCCGCAGCAGGTCACCGGGCCGACCCTCGGTCGCCGCAGCGGGTCACCGGGCCGACCCTTGGTTGCCGCAGCGGGTCACCGGGCCGACCCTTAGTTGCCGCAGCAGGTCACCGGGCCGACCCTTGGTCGCCGCAGCAGGTCACCGGGCCGACCCTTGGTCGCCGCAGCAGGTCACCGGGCCGACCCTTGGTCGCCGCAGCAGGTCACCGGGCCGACCCTTAGTTGCCGCAGCAGGTCACCGGGCCGACCCTTGGTCGCCGCAGCAGGTCACCGGGCCGACCCTTAGTTGCCGCAGCAGGTCACCGGGCCGACCCTTGTTTGCCGCAGCAGGTCACCGGGCCGACCCTTGATGGCCGCAGCATGTCACCGGGCCGACCCTTGGTCGCCGCAGGAGGTCGTCGAGCCGACCCTTAGTCGCCGCAGCAGGTCACCGGGTCGAGCTTTGGTCGCCGCAGGAGGTCACCGGACCGACCCCTAGTTGCCGCAGCAGACCACCGGGCCGACCCTTGGACGCCGCAGCAGGTCACCGAGCCGTCGCGCCCGGCGCTGAGTCCCCCCCCCCCCCCCCTCTACCCCCGAGCACCGCGGGAGCGGGGCCGGAGTCCACTGCCCCTGAAGCCGAGGAGGGGGGGCCTCAGTCCGGCGGGAGGCACAATAGACCAGTCTGCGGAGGCACCTGGCAGGCCAGCAGCACCGCAGCGGAAGAGCCACACCTTTGATGCCACCCGCCACCGTCGGCAGCCGGTCTACGCGGACCCCGCTGCTCTAGGGCACAGCCAGCGGCCGCTCATTAAATACTGCCACGATCTTCCCGTGTCAGTGAGGCTACTGGTGATGACACCAAGATCTACAAATATTGTTAGACGCGCACAGATCGCAGAGGTCTTCAAACATGGCAGTCTGAGGTCGGATGGTGTTTCAACGCGGGTAAACAGCCTAGTCTGCTGAGAGAAGCTGAAAAACTTGTGTCTTTCGAGGTCGAGGGCACGTTCCCAACTGGTATCCACGGCAGGCTGCAAGTTTTTCATAAACAGAGCAAGTTTTTTGAGATGGTGGACTAATTCATTCACACGTGTCAATAAATGCTCACCCACTTTGCTACCCACTAACTGAAAACGACCAGCACGCCAGCGCTCTCGTTGCAGCGGTGCCGGACACGCCGTCTGTTGAACGAGCAACCATGCCTGTCCCAATAGGGCACGCAGCATGGCGACTGTTGCATACCACAGCTCTGAACAAACCGGCTAAAGCGCCAGCGAACAAAACCCACCTCGGTGTACAGCAGGGTGTCGTGACACACCAGCCTATCCCACCCGCATCTGGCCTGCTTGAGCATGTGACATGTGGGCGCAAAATGACCACAGCAGTCGGCGCGCCCTAAAGCTCTAATCAGCAACAAGAGCCTGCGACGTGGCACCTCGACTGCGACCGTGCGGGCTGCCAACCGCCCGACCCGAGGAGGGCAGTGCAGGCCTCACCTGGGTCTCATTGCTGTTGAGCTGGTCACGAGCCTCCTTCACCATGTCCAGGCAGATGTGGCACACATCATCATTGTCCTCTGGCAGGCTCATGTAGTTCCACACCTTGTCGATGCACCAGGAGGTCATGCCACATTCAGCTGACTTGCTGCAGGGGAAGGTGTGTGGAATGAGTTAGTGCTGGATGTCAGGTCAGCAACGTCAAGAACAAACAGCTGAGGTCTTCAACACTGACCAAAATCATTCTGCAGTGAGCATAAATAAATTCAAAAGCATGCTATCACTGATGGTTCATGTTGTTGCATAATCAGGTGACCTAAAACCATGACATGTTATGCATTACAAACAAATAATGTGAGCTGAACAAGCTCCATCTGCTGATGCATATCATCATTTGAAGTTACAGCAAAAGTGTGATTTGACATTGCTTGACACACCCTGGCAGTCCAATCACAAGAAGAAACTGGAAAAACTTGTCAGAATTTTTAAGCAAAAGACAAAAACAACTATTAAATATGTTATCATATAATTTGGCTGGTCACTGCTGGTTTAATCATTGATTCTGTCCTCAAACACACACAAGCAATAGAAGTGTCCTAAAAGAATGAAAAGTGCAGTCTTTGCCACTGTAGTAAGTTGATAAGAAATTTAGAACCCTATCATGCTTGAACATTTGAATTCTATATTCCTATTACTGTGTAAAGGCATCAGAAATCAATTGATAAAACATTAGAGAATATCTTAATGTCATTTCATGGCATGAACATTCCCATACTCAGTTTTGAAAACAGGCATACAAATAAATAATATCCTTATATATGTTAGCAATCAGCAAGTTTTACTTAGTCCATGATGTCTGAGAAGACATCAAAGAATACTGTAACATTATGCACAACATATTTTGAACAGTACATTCACAAATCTAGCCACCCTGCTCACTATCCTGTCATGCAACCAAATCACCATTACCTGATATGATCACACCAGTATGATGGACCAAATGTGCATTTTTTGGATCCGAGTCTGTGTTGCACCCGGCCAGTTTCTCCTCGGGAAACAATGGTGGGGCCGCACACAGCAGCTGCAGGGAACAGAAGAAAACAATATATGTAAGGCATGCACAAATGCTAATGAATATTGAGTGATGGCACAGAGCTGTGTAAATCACATCCTATATGTCATATTTATGTTCATGAATGTCACAAATATTTATTTCCATTTTGTGTGATGAACTTCAAATAACAGTGAGATATTCCAAATTGCACAGGCTTGAATTTTTAAAAAAATATTTATGAAATTTCATAATTGGTATTTTCCATCACACTCATATAAAGAAAACACACATGAGCACAGCTACCATTGCTCACAAATAGCAAATGAGTCAACGCCATGGCATGGTATATGCATATCGTGTGCCATAAACATATGTGTCACACCACGTACATGGTGTGCTCAGTCTGTGTCAAATGCAGTTGTCAGAATGTAAAACTTTTCACCCACCTCCCACCAGCGTGGCGAGAATCAGCACTTTCAACGCCATCGTCTTGCCTCCAACCCTCCGATTAAAAACGATGACCTTGTTCGCACCCAGTTATCTTTATCGAAGATACTGCGTAACGATTAAAGAACGGAATGCCCTCAACACCCCACTCCTCACACGCCCGCCACTCTAAGCGAAGTGAAATAGCTCTTCCCTGCTCACAAAGAAACGACGCCACACACACTGAATCACCGCTGGTGCCAGCGCGAAGTTAGCTGGAATCCCAGCTGAACAGTGATCACGTGACGTAAACAAAGATGCCTGGCACTTCACAGTCTGCAACGCCCTCTAATGACAAAACACTCAAACTGTCCTTACGCCAGTCTGCCACCAAGTTCTTAAGTGCGCAAGCTCCCTGACTGATGGAAGAATATAAACACGAAATACAAAAACTCAGACTTGCGCTTAAGGTCCAAAAAATCATGACTTTATGAGGTAAAGTAGGTCTGCTGTAAGGTGACTGGCCTAATATGGAGGCGTTCGAGACCTCCCCAGCGCGCGGTACCCGAGACCTCCTAGGTGTGCACGTGTGAAGAAATGACATGTTTACGTACGTGCCGCAAACAGCCACTTAATCAGTCGCTCAGTAAAAAAAACAAACAGCTATCTCTTGGTGATGCGTATGCACGTCTCTTCCCAGCCTAGCATTTCTGGACCCGTGCGTACCGCGCCCATCTCGGGCACCTCGCACCGTCAGCAGATTCCGCACACCCCCTTCATAGCCCTGCCGCCTTGTATCAGGGGTCTAGTGGTGACGAGACAAGTCCCCTAAACTTGGTCGAATCTTCACCATTGCGGCTTTCGGCTCGCGTGGAAGGAGGCGTCGAACGAAGCATGGAAAGACTCGTATGACACCGACCCTAGCTTTTAACCCGCAGGACAGACCTTGAATCAAGGTGGCATTAAGGGTAATGGTAATGGTAATGGTGATGGGGAGGCCACACCTACTTATGTTGAGATGAACACGACTTAAGCCCTTTTTTCAAAGAAACGTTTTGATCGGTTGACTTGACCGACTCACTCTCAATCTTCTCTACCCATGGAATACCTTCCATACAATTATTCAACAAATAGGCAGATACTGATCGCCCATCTGCAATCTCTCCGCCGGTATGGCGATCACTGCCATCGCTGGTTTGGGTTTTGGAGGCGTCGACTGTGTAGCGAGCAACTTATTTTAACCGACGGATTACTTAAGCTTTTTGTCTCACAAAAACTTTGCCCGATTGGAAGCATCGCAATAGGCGCCGTTCCCCACATGCCCGCCACATCTAATTTTTTGACCGCGCTGTTAAACGTCGCACATGTAACGCCCATTACAAAATCCAAGCCAAAATCGTAGCCACCTGATTTATCATCTTCGATACGTTCCATTGCTACCGACGCTGCTGCCAACATGGCCGCCTTCCCGATTTCAACGCACACAACCCCAAAACACCACAAACTGAACGAACCGTTTATTGTGGACCACACAGGCGCTGGAACCGAAGGCGACGAACACAAAACAAATGGCACGCGCGCACCCGCCTCGAACAGGCGACCGACCAGCGTTAGCTTGCGGTCGTCGACCGTCGCAGACCGGGAGCCCGCGGCAGCGGAAGCGACACCAGGCGACCCCAACGGCAGGCCGATGGGAGGTCACACCACCGGCCAGGCCGAGAGAGTCACATTAACATCGCGGGAAAACGCGGCGCCGAAAGAACGGGCATGCGCACGTGAAACAGGTTTGCCGCACAGGTTCCGAAAGTTCCGCCACCGTGTCATTGTTAACGGCGCCGTCCACGCTCCGCGGGTAGCTAGGCGCGGGTCTGGAGCACTTCCATTGCGATGAGGGCGCACCCAGCGGCTCGCAAAAGCAACAGACGGAGCGGAACCGCTTCCTGACTTCGAGCACACGCTGTCTCCACATGACAGACCGCCGCCGCAGCAGCACGGCTATCCCTCGCGCGCTGCCAGCCGGACCAGCCGGGGGCAATATCACGCGCGATCAAAGGGGAAAATGGATAAAACCCTGCAAGTCGGGGACAATCTCACACATGAAGAGAACGAGGAAAATCGATAAAAGTGGCTTATGACTCTGCCCATTCTGCCAGGAGCTGCAGAAAATATATTGACTGGCGCAGTCGCTCCAAGAAACCGGCGGGCCCTGCTGGGCTCTCACCAGCGTCGACATCTGCGCGTACACTGGAAAAGCGCAAGTACCATAAACAGTCGCCAGGTGGCTAAGGGAGCTGAACACCAGCGCATGGCGGTCGGAAGGACCACGGGGGAACCCTGCCACAGACGAATACAGAAACTTAACACTACTGTACAACATGATTCAATGCCTTCGCTCTGACGGACGTGTGCGGAACATTGGACACATCAGGACAGGTACCAAACAGGCACGGCACAGGCCAACAGTACTTGAGATAGCAATTTGGCGGCGCAGAAAAAAGAAATGAGCGTAAAACATAATTCGGCGAAGTTCAGTCCTTTCGCTGAGGTTTGACATTTAAAATTACTGTCATATGAATTCAGTAGTCTAACTGGTTAATTGCATTTACCAATGTAGGATAATTTCGGTCCCGCACAGTGGCGATCGCACACCAGAAGCTGAACGGAGCGGCAATGTGCCAGTCCTCCGCTGGGCCTGCGAGCCGGCGGTGCAGGCCACCACGGTGAGTGCAGGCGCCTACGGGTGTTCGGTCAGCGCGCGGAGAGTCGGGGCGGCGCCGGGCCGTGCCCGGCCCGCGGCGGGGATCGAAAGGATGCCGAGGCAGGCAAGACGAGGGAGGGCGCGAGCGCCAGGGACGGAAAGTCCCGCATCCCTTTCTATGGTCCAGGTCCAGGCGAGTTTGACAAGCAGCGACAGTAACCCGCCCACGTCAGCACTGAAACCTGCCTCACGACCTCGGCCGCGTACAGCAATCTGCGTTTAGCAGAATCCACCCTGAAAAGCTTGGTCTCACTCAGCTGAAAAGGGAGCAGCGAACCATTTATCACCATGCAGATGGACATTCTGTCATGCTGCAAGCAGCCATAACTGTACACAATAGGGTGACATCTATATAAAGTCTTACAAGTTTTAAGTAAGAATCTATACCACGCAGACTTCACGCACACCCGAGACTACGCGAGCCTCTGTAAAGAAATCTAATGTAAGCGCTAAACGCAGCTTAATTGTCCTGGAATATTGCATCGTCTACAGGCGACAGCTTGATGTCATGGCAGTCCAAGCCCAGGCAGTTCTGGGATAGCTTCACAGCACGCTAGTGAAGTGACGTCACTATCGGAACCTCTGCCGCGGTCCCCGTACCTGTGGTCCGAGCCCACGGCCGACCCCACCCCTCCCCCTCCTCTCTCGAGACCTACGACACCATGGCGCCGGGCCGCAGGCCAACAGCGGCGTGTCGACACTACTGCCACCTGTTGGTGATACCAACGGCGTCAGTGCTGCCGGCGGTCGCTAGGCCTCGCCCCGACCACACACGAAACCGGAAAGCCTTTGGCGCGATGCCAGAGGCGTCGTGTGGCACCTAATGCGGCGTCTTTGATCAGGATGACAGGGTAGCTAGACGATGACCATCCACTTCAAAACACACGAATCATTCTTACACGTAGATTTCAAAATGAAGGAATGAATGAAATAAAATGGGTGAAATGGACCCGGAATTAATGGAATGGACACCAGCCCAGCCAGTTCCGCGACGGACGACCGCCTTGGAAAGTCTCGCGCAGTTATAAGGGAAATGACGGGGAGCATACACACAACAGGAAATGACAGCTCTCAGCTGTCATTTTGACAGCCGAGAGCTGTCATTTGTCAAACAGCTACAAAATGGCCATTTGAGGTACCGCGGGCCGGCCAGGAATGGTCTGCACTACGCCAGACCTTGATGCCGGTCCTGGCTAGGCCGAACCAGAGCACACGCGGCAAACCAACATATGTACAAGTAGAGCGTATCGCAAATCGCAGATACTGTGTGCGCGAGATACTCCAATGTGTGTAATAGAGTGGCTACACACTTGGCCTGTCTGGGGCCCGGTATTGGTCCTGCCTCGAGTCCATTCCAAGACGCCTCAGCTCCGCATGCTTCCCAGAACGCTCACCAGAGGCCCGGTTCGACTCACCAGAGGCCCGGTTCGGCACACCAGAGGCCCGGTTCGACTTACCAGAGGCCCGGTTCGGCACACTAGAGGCCCGGTTCGCGTCACCAGGAGCACGGTTCGGCACACTAGAGGCCCGGTTCGCGTCACCAGGAGCACGGTTCGGCACACCAGAGGCCCGGTTCGCCTCACCAGGAGCACGGTGCGGCTCACCGGAGGCCAGGTTCGGCTCATAAGAGGCCCATTTCCTCCCACCCAAGTCACACATACATTGACGGGCCCATCAGTCCACCTGCGGACCCGGGTGCGCACAGCCCACCCTCGAGGGAGCGGAGGGGAGAGAAGGGGAGGGGTCAATGTACGCGTGATGTCCAGCCGCGGATGGCGGTCACACCTGAGCGGTATGATCCGGCTAGACTAGGACAACGGGTCCACGATGGTAGCTACCGCGTCCGTAATTGTGCCAGTTGATGGCAACCGTAATTGTGCTAGTTGATGACAACCGTAATTGTGCTAGTTGATGACAACCGTAATTGTGCTAGTTGATGACAACCGTAATTGTGCTAGTTGATGACAACTGGAAGAGGTTTACAGACTTTTATCACGCATGGGACAAGGCAGCATGGAACGTTGCTGCTCGGGCAAAATCACACGGGCAAAATCACCTCTCAGGGTCGATAACACAAAATTATTTCACTAGGAATAGATGCAGTGCAAGCTGTGAAAAGGAATGTGTGGGTCCCGCTGCTCGTGCCTTGTCTGAGTATGGGAAAGCTAACAAAATAAAAGCTTAAATCTTACCACATTTCGAAGCAACGCAGCTTTAAAAGTAAAACTTGAAGTGTGAATTAACAATAATGTTAACTAGACATACCGCCAACCCAAGCTTGCTAGATTTCATGCATGAAAACAGGACACAACCATCCAAAATCATTTGAGCAAGTATCATAACATGATTAACGTCTACCTATGCAAACAAAACGTCGCATTTCTCATGACAACGTCCGAAGTTTTTCGGGACTCAAAAGGAAACTTAAACGGTTCGGCCATCAGGAGACCTTGAAATCTATCCCTCGGCTGCTATCGCCGCCTAGCGGTCACCAGCATCACTCCAGCTTTTTGGCGGTGCCGCTGGCAGCAGCTCGCCCCGGCTTCTTCTTGCTGAGATAGGCCTTGTTGAAGAAGTGTGCGAAGAGGACGAAGTAGCTGAAGTACATCATGAGCGAGAGCTTGATGTTGAGATCCGAGACCTCGCACTCGCCTCCGTTGGACTTGACGTGGTAGGCCCAGAGATTGACCAGACAGCCGACCACCATCTGCGCCAGCTGCGAGGCAGTGATGACGACCGAGATCCACCTGCGGCAGGGCAACCAGTCACCGTCCTGTCTCAATGTGTTCACCATCCTGCCGCGCCGCGTCCATCGTCCCGTCTCCTGGCCGCCGTCCTGTCTCCTGGCCGCCGTCCCGTCTCCTGGCCGCCGTCCCGTCTCCTGGCCGCCGTCCTGTCTCCTGGCCGCCGTCCCGTCTCCTGGCCGCCGTCCCGTCTCCTGGCCGCCGTCCCGTCTCCTGGCCGCCGTCCCGTCTCCTGGCCGCCGTCCCGTCTCCTGGCCGCCGTCCCGTCTCCTGGCCGCCGTCCCGTCTCCCAGTGGTCATCACATTGGTCGGCAGCGGACGGCAGTGTCAGGGTCGCAAAGTTCAGCCATTTGGGTGCCAGGGAAACCGCCATTTGTCTTTGCGATTGCACACGTGCTGGCTGTTGTTCCTCCCTTGCTCACGATCGACCAATCAGCATCGAGCCGGATGGCAGTCAACCCTGCGACCATGCGGCCCCGGGAGAGGCAAGCCAGGCGGGCAGGTCAGGATGTGACGGATGACAGAGGTCAGACTGCCTGATTAATGTTAGCCTCTCTGGCACCCAACTGGACGAATTTCGCCACGCTGTCTAAATCTTTGAGGCGAGAACTGACCAGGAGGCAGACCGGGATCACACACGCGCTGATAACTGTCACGGAGCAAAGATAACAGCGGGAAATGACAGACCGGCGGGAAACGATAAACCGCAGATTGGTGCGGAAGGGCGGGCAACGCAAAGACGAAGACCAAGAGTCATCAGCTGGAACACCAATGAAGAATCAGGAAGCTTCTGAGCAGGAATGAAAGGATAAGAACGACACGGAGCCTACTGTTGCGGTAATTCATACAATGATACAAATTGCCTCACGACGGTGAGATGACACAGACGGTGTAGATGTGACAGACAGATGACGTGAATAACTAACTTAATGGCTCATGAAGGCAATTGCAAAAACAGCGAAAAAATCATCCGCCAAGAAAACCGCTGACGTCATTGCATCATCACAGTATTCACCATGGCAACGAGGCAAAGCGTGACATCAAAGCAAACTTTGCGCGCAGAATCAGTGACCTTCAGCTAACCTTGGCACGCGGTACCGGAGCGCCTTGAAGGCGTAATAGCTGTACATCATCGAGTGGACGAAGTAGTTCATGCTGACGAACCAGCGGGCCGTCACGATGAAGTCCGAGAAACTGTAACGGCGGGAGAACGGCATCAGCCAACAGTCTGTGTCGTCAGCACACGGACAAACACACACACACACACCTGCACGCACACGCACACACACACGGGACGGTGGATGAATGCAATCTTTACCCAGAGATATACCCAGGGATCCTTTTCAACCCCCCCCCCCCGCCGACTTTTACCTATGGTCATCAGCGCACGGTCCGGGGTCATCAGCAAATGACCCGCAGTCATCAGGATACGACCTCGCATTATAAGCACGCGGCCCAGGGTCATCACCACACCGCCTGGGGTCATCCGCACACGTCTGGGGCCGGTCAAGCGGCGGCACGCTAGGCACTCCGTGACCCCTGCCGAGGTCGTTGGTGGAGGGCCGCCGGTCGCGCAACGGCCGGCAGACGGTCCGGCTGCCGCAGACAACGGTGCCGCAGACAGCGGTGCCGCAGGCAGCAGTGCCGCAGAGAGGTGCCGCAGACAGCGGTGCCGCAGATAACGGTGCCGCAGACAGCAGTGCCGTAGGCAGCAGTGCCGCAGAGAGAGTGCCGCAGACAGCGGTGCCGCAGACAGCAGTGCCGCAGACAGCGGTGCCGCAGACAGCAGTGTCGCAGACAACGGTACCGCAGCGCCCGGCTAGCCTCCAGTGCCCAGTTGCTCGCCTTTTTTTGGGAAGGGTGATGCTTCCCAGCAAATGGCGAGTCAACGGCTGCATAGATCAAATCCTTGATCAACGATTGGTCCGTCTTGCCGGGTTTCATGCTCATTTCCGTCCGTCAGACACCAGGTTTTTTTCTCAACCATATCTTGAATCAAGCGTTGAAGACACCGGCCAGCTCAGCCTAAACAGCACTTCACCCTTCACATGCGCTGGGTGGTGCTAATCGTTGGGTATGTCATGAGCGCCGACGCGTGTTAAGCGGGACGCCTCAGGCGGAGTCAACGCCCCGCCGCTGAATAATACAGGCTTCCCACCCCCCATCAGCGCCGCCCCCAACAGGCGGGCCAGCCGTGACCGACCGGCAGCTGCTGGGGCAATCTTCGCCGCCATCAGTCCACATGTAACAAGACACGGACGGAGCATGCTGTCGCTGGCGGCGGCGGTGATGCTGGTCGCATTGTCGTCGCCCCCTCCCCCCCCCCCCACGTGGGGGCAGCGTCGGAGTCGGTTTGTCATCACGGGTGATCATGGCGTCGAAGGTGGTAACGTTGTCAGGCGTGTGGTAACAGCTTCTCAGGCGTCGTCGTTTAGCAAATGTCGGATGTCGTCAAGTACAGAAACAGTGTGAAAAAAACGGTGTAGCTGTTGCCGCTTCAGGAACGGGGTAGAACTGGCAGCCCGATGCGAACTCGAGATAGTCCAGCAACTTCAATACAAATTGTGTCAGATTACAGGTGGTGATCCGGTAAACCGAATCACTATCTGTAATCTGGCGTATACCTCCCCCCCCCCCCCCTCCGGTGTAGGACCTCGGCTGTGCCGGCGGCACAAGTGGGACCCTGGAACTACACCCCACTGTGCGACGAGAACCCCGTCTCCGGCTCTGAATTCCAAAGCTGGCCACATGGATGACGTCTAGACAAACCTCGGTGAACCCCCTGACCCCACGTCCATTATTCACACCGATCGCCCAACCGCAGGCGGGAGCCGGCCCCACAAGGGACTGTCGCTGGGGCAGCCCGGTGGTGCAGCAGGTGGTGCAGTACGGTGGTGCAGCCCGGTGGTGTAGCAGGTGGTGCAGCGCGGTGGTGCAGCTGGCGGTGTCGCCCGGTGGTGCAGACCGGTGGTGCAGCCCGGTGGTGTAGCAGGTGGTGCAGCGCGGTGGTGTAGCCCAGTGGCGCAGCTGGTGGTGTCGCCCGGTGGTGCAGCCCGGTGGTGTAGCAGGTGGTGCAGCGCGGTGGTGTAGCCCAGTGGTGCAGCTGATGGTGTCGCCCCGTGATGCAGCCCCGTGATGCAGCCCGGTGGTGCAGCCCGGCGGTGTCGCCCGGTGGTGTGGCCCGGTGGTGCAGCCTGGTGGTGCAGCTGGTGGTGTCGCCCGGTGGTGTCGCCCGGTGGTGCAGTACGGTGGTGCAGCCCGGTGGTGCAGCCCGGTGGTGCAGTCCGGTGGTGCAGTACGGTGGTGCAGCCCGGTGGTGCAGCCCGGTGGTGCAGCTGGTGGTGTCGCCCGGTGGTGCAGCCCGGTGGTGCAGTACGGTGGTGCAGCCCGGTGGTGCAGTACGGTGGTGCAGTACGGTGATGCAGTCCGGTGGTGCAGTCCGGTGGTGCAGTCCGGTGGTGCAATACGGTGGTGTCGCCCGGTGGTGCAGCCCGGTGGCTCCTGTGGCGTCCTGTTGCTGGGCCCGCCGCGTCGGCGGTCGCCGGACGGGGCCGCCGCTGGAATGCGGCGCCCCTCCCCTTCCCCCTGTGGTCCGGGCAGCGGGCGGGCGCCCCGGCTACCCCGCATCGACCCGTCTGGCCGGCGGGCCACACGCCGCCGGGTCACACGCCGAGCAGCCCGGCCGACACCACCTGCCCAGGCTGGGTGGGGCATGCCCGACGTTGCCGCATTAACCCGGGGCTCCACACACGCCGAGCAGCCCGGCCGACGCCACCTGCCCAGGTTGGGTGGGGCCTGCCCGACGCCGGTGCATTAGCCTCGGGGCTCCACAAACGCCGACACCGTTCGCCGCCGGTGCTGAAGGAGGGCTGATGGTCTGGGCGCGGCCGATGGGATGGACCCTCGAAACGGAAAACATGGCACTAGGATACGGGGGATTTAAAACAGCTTGGAGTCAGAAAGGTCCTGGATGCTCTGTGCTGTGAGGATAGGGCCGTCGATGCCCGGCGCCGGGCTGCTCGAAAGGCTTTATGATGTCGATATATACAGTCTAACAACGTGTGGTCTTCAAATGTGTTGAGGCGTGCGGTATGTTACATCCCAGTACGAAGGGTAGACTTGCTGGTGCACACAATGCTTGGAAGGAAATTTCCACTTTTATCTTTATATTAGATAATTGGAAATACCATTTTTTCAGTTTCTACACCCATTCGACTATCACGTTGACGGTTGAGGATACCAAAACATCGCTCCTCGCTCATCGCTCCAGAACAAAGTTGGCCTAACGTTATGCTACATGCAAGCATAACGCTAGGCCAAGTTTCCCGATCCATTCGGCATTTTTCGTTTTGTCGACAGTCCGCCCCAATCGTTAACACACTTGTGCCGAATTTTGCCCTTGCCACGTGCCAGTGGGGCGCGTGGGAAGCTGGAGTCCTGTTAGCGCACGGACACCATGACCCATACAAGGCCCGCCCAAATCTCGGGTTGTCCTGCTCCCGTCCCTTCAGACCGCACCCGCGTCCCATCTCTCGTCAGCTGTCAGAGCCGGCACAGACCGAGCAGGGTGAGCCAGTGAAGCGACACACACCGCAGGCTCCAGGGCAACATCAGCATCTGCACGCCCCCCACGTCATGCACCATGTTGGAGCGCGGCGGCGGCGGCGAAGGCCGAACGGCATCCGGCCAGAGCGGGGGGGGGGGGGGGGGGGGGGGGGGGCGGGCGAAGGGGTGGAAGCTACAGCAGCGAGCGGCAGATCTGTCCCTGCGCAACAGTCCAGAAGCCATCGCGCCACGCCATCAGCGCCAATTATGGCATAGCGTCTGCTCATGCTGGTACGGTCGACCGCAAACCGCAAATGTCTCCGCGCCCCAAACCCTCGGCAGGTTTTTGCTTCGAAGGCGGTCTTTGTCGCCAGAGTTTTCTACTTGATCTCAGAATAATAGGGGTTACTGGATGCTCGATGATTGTGAAACTGCGCTGCGGAAAAAATCAAATATTCCAGAAATAGTACCACTGTCAAGTGCGTGAGAAAAGTTACTTAAAGCCAATAATAAACAAAACGACCAACGAAAATTAATACCTCCTCCAGTTAATGGTGGGAAAGCTATCAAAAGGGCATACGAATTTATACCCAAAACATTTTTTTACATTTGAGATGACGAGGCGCTATGCGTAATAACCATCCATGCAAAAAATTGTGCACGGGAAACTGACGTCACGACAAATACATCCAATGCTCCCTTGAATGCATCTATTATTCTATAGCCTTGGCCGTACCTGACGCCCATTAAAGCGCCGGTATCTGCAGTAAATACCACAGAGCACTTCAGCCGAGCGTGCGGGGCACGTCTGAGCCACTCCAACCTATTTCGGAACCCATCAGAACATCGCGCTCTGAAGCCATTGGGCTTGATGCCGTTTGATCGCTACTTCGAACTTTGAGCCGCCGCGGCCGGTGGACGCTGCCTCTCACCCAGATTGGGTCAGCGCCGTTCGGCGGTCTCCGGGCGCCTCGATGCGTGGCCGGCAAAATTCACCCGCGTGTTCACGTGGTGACCTCTCGGGAGGAGGGGGGGGGGACACGCGACCTCCCCGTATCAAATGTAGTTCATGTTTTCATATGTCCGCACGTCAATGCCGATAGAAAATCGCGGTAGGCACGTAAAATAGAACTAAACCGGGAAGACGCGATGCTCTTTAACGTCTTGTAACGAAATTCCCTGAGCAGTATCAAACTTTCAGTTGTGTCCCGTTCCCTCCCCCTTCCCCCCCCCCCCCCGCTAATGCAAAATCCATCATACGCCCCTGGCTACATTCGATGCAGGTCGTGTGCTACCCAGCCAACGCGCCGGGCATCGTCGATCGCCGCTACAGCCGGGCCTGCGGAGCGCAGCACGACGTCGAAGGCTGGTCCAGGTACGTCAGAACCGTCGGAGCATGGCGTAAACCCCGCAGAGGCCCGCCACAAATCGGCTAGAATCTCGACCACGCAGGCTGCCAGCGCGCTTAACACACAGACGCTGCACGCCTGCCGCAGGCTAACACAAGCCCACGGTCGGCTGCGTGCTCGCTCTGAGTGCCACGTGCCAGCCGACACAAAGTTGCCGTTCGGCGCCGAATGGACGCGGCGTTATGCGGTCGGCGAGCCCCCCTCCCCTCCCCCCGCCAGCGAATGCCTGGCATGATTACG